GTGTCGGGGTGGGGGTGGGCGTGCGAGTGGGCGGCGCTGAGCGCGGTGCCGCCGGCGATCTCCTCCCAGGTGCCGGCGGCGGCGACGTCGTCCGAGGAGGAGGAGGGCGCGGGGCGGGCGCGGGTGCCGGATCGCGTGACAGCGCCGCGCAGGGTGCGCCCGAAGTTCCGCTTGGAGGCCTTGACGGAGAGGGCGGAGCGGGAGCTCTCCGAATCGTCGGCGGAGCGGCGGCCGGCTTTGGCCTTGACGACGCCCGCAGGACTCTTGCTCGAGTTGGGCTTGCGGATGGCGAGGATGTTGCGCCGCTTGGTGGAGAGCGTCTTCGGCTTGGGCTCGGTGTCGGCGAGGTATCGCGTGCGCGAGGACGTCTTGACGGGCTCCGTCTTCTTGACGTACTTGACGACGTTGACGTTGATGATCTCGTGCCCGGAGCGCGGCGCGAGTACGGGCGGGCTGCGGCGGCGCTCGGGCTCAGCCTTGGCGCCGGCGTACGCGTTCTCCTTGCGCTCGTCGACCACCTTGGTCTTGGTGCGGGCGTAGAGCGGCACGCGGGAGGGGGAGGACGTCTTGGGGCGCAGACGCGACATGGTCAGCTGTAACCGGTATTGCGATCAATGCAGGTGAGCGCGCTCGAGGAGCCGGCACAAAGTGGTGCTGAGCCGATGCTGCGGGAGCGCACACCTCTCTATGTTTTAGTACGTGTTCGTGGAGTCGTGCGTTGTTAAACAATTTATTTGGGACAAAACACAATCCACTCTGAAATCGTTTTTTCTTACCCTGGATATTTATTAAATTGCTGGTTGATTATTTATAGCAGATAAACACTGAAAATTAAAGACATGTGTTATAAACAAAAGAAACACTGTTAGGGTTTATCAATGAGAAATATAAAGTTGGAAAGTAAGAGTTATAAAATTATTAAATCTTTGTAAATAAATAAAACTGAACAAGTAAGGTTTATAAAATGTAAAAATTAAAAACAACATTTCTCCATTTATTTTATAATGTTTGCAACCAGCAAAAACACACACACTAATAGAAGTTTTTATTTGACTGCGATGTGGTGGTGAGTTATCGCTCGAAATGTGTAAATGTTAAATTCGTTTGTTACGGTTGTGTAGATGTGAGTGGGCGTGGTGTGGGCGTGTGGTGGGCGTGGTGTGGGCGGGGCGTACCTGTGGGCGCATGGTGCGGGAGTGCACACGCAGCCAGTCTCTCAGCGCGGCCAGGGAGCGGTGCTCGGAGCAGGGGATGCGCGAGTTGGGATGCTGCCCCGTCACGTCCAGTATCG